ATTTTCAGCCTCCTAGAGTGCTAGTATTACCTTGCCTGGCATATTTTATAATCTTTAATACTGTGCTAGCTAGCCCTAAACTCATGGCAGTCCTCCTGCCTTAGTCTCTCAAACGCTAGGATTAGAGGTGTGCACCATCACACCCAGCCAGCATCTCCATCTTTTTTTGTTGTTGTTGTTACAGGAATCAAACTCAGGACCTTGAGCTTGTGAGGCAGGCGCAAGGGCACCACCCAGTTAAATCCCCAGCCCTGTCCCTGTCTTCCAGTTCTGCTACTCTGTTCTCACATTGGTCACTTCTGCCTGTACTGTCAACATAATTTTGCATCTCCTGGACTTTTTTTTTTTTGGTACCCGGGATCGAACTTGGGACCTTGTGCTTGCGAGGCAGGCGCCAGAACCACTGAGCTAAATCTCTGGTCTGGACTTCTGTTTATAGCCTTTTCATAGACTGTAGTTCTTTGCTAATCTGGCCATTTATGTTTTGTATCATTTTGTTTATTAGCTCAGCTAGCTTTTTATTAGTTTTTCTGTAAGCTCCCTGATTGTTTTATTATCTCCATTATCTGAGTAGTTGCACCTTCATGGAGGCTGCTGAGCATCTCATTGATCTGTTTTTTAATCTTCTGTTACTCTTTTGAATAATTTGGCTCTTTGACTTTACTGTCCTTCCTATCAGTGCCCCATGGATTGGCTTTGGGGGAGGTGGGAATTTGGGGAGGCATTTTCTTGCTTGTCTTCTCATGTTTCCCTTTTTTTTTTTTTTTTTGGGGACCAGGAATCAAACTCAGGGCTGTGCCACTGAGCTACATCCCCAGTCCTGCTGTTGTTTTTTGTTTGTTCATTTGCGTGTTTTGTCCTTAGGTATCCAGTCACTTATAGTATAAAGACTTTGTTTCTAGTATGGAGATCACTTTAGTTAATCTGATTTTCAGTGATATACTCAGGGCATGGCTGAGTGTAATCCTTTGCCTTTGTCCCAAGATCCAATCGCATCTGTTAATAGGGGGGAGGGAGGCTTGTAGTGTAATTGGCTCAGCATCCAGTTCTCCAGGCATGGACCACAGTATTGTAAATGTCCCAGAGGCAATGCAGGAAAATTGGCATACAGGAAAAAACTATTAAAAGCAACAGCTATTTGACCCTGGCAATATCAAGTAGATCAGCAGCAGTAATATTGTCCAGGATAAACTTGATATTGATATACTGTAAGAGCCAATAATGTGTCACTCTTAAACTTAGAAATCTACAATTATAATATAAACCCAAAGACAAACCAAATATTGACATACAGCAAATATCTTCTGAATGCAGTAAATATAACCTCCAACAATAATAGAAAAGAATTCAACAATAGTAGCATAGAGTGAATTACCTAAAGATTAATACAGCTTAATGGTTATACTAGTAAAGATACACAAGTTGGGAATGGGTGAATATAAAAAAGTTTGAATATTTAAGCAATGATAGATAAGGAGAAAAAAGTGAGACAAGGGATGCGGTTGTGGAGTGGGAAGATATTATAGAATTAGATAAAGGTAACAAAAACAAAGCAAGAAATAGAAGATTAGGAAAGGGGAAAAGATATAATATGGAGAACAAAAAATTGAAAGAAAAAAGATTTTTTAAAAAGGAGTGAGAAGAAAGAAAAATCAGTCCCAAAACGATTTTTCTTATTATTACATGTGTATAGTACACGTTTATTCCTGTGGGAAGCTGGTACATGTACATAATACATCCTAATTCCTTTTTTATCCCCCTTTCCCTTTGTTTCATCCCCTTCCACCCAAATGAGCGATTACCTTCTAGGCTTGCAAGTTTGGAGTCCCTCATGACTGTTTTCTTGGCCTAACCTTATGGCCTATGGTTTTTTAAGGTGCACCCCTTATTCCAGAGGCCCCTTTGTTTACTTTAAGCTGTGGCAGTGTACATTGAAATGTGACCTTGCTCATGTTGGTGGCTAGGGAAGACAGTCAGACCTCAGATCTTTGGTGGACGTAGGCAGCAGGGCAAGGATTCAAATACTTGATGTTGGCAGCCACTTTCAGACCTCAGCTGTTTCTGAGTGCAACTCCAGTAGGGCCTGGTTTTTCCACAAAGGATGGGGCCCATGTCCTTCCTAGCCTGAGTTTAAACTTCTCAGAGGATCTCTCTTTAGCCCACTTCCTGTCCATAGCTGTCTCTCACCCAGTCACCGTGAGAAGGTGACACTGGGAACCCTAAAGTTAAAGTTGTTTTTTACATGTGCTGAGTCCTAGGTTTAAATAACCCTTTCCCAGAATGGCACCCAGTCAAGCATTTTCTGTTGATATGATGGACATCCATGCTTATATCCATGTCTGGCTTTTGCTTGCTGTGTGGAAGGAGTCCCATCAGAGCAAAACCTGGCCATGCTGTTACCATGTACAAAGGCCATGGGATCTGTTGCTCTTTCTTCCTGCATCTCCCAGCCATGGGTGCTCACCTTGCTTCTGGGGCCCCTGGTTCCCTTCACGAACCACAAGAGCCAGGCAGAGATTCCAAATTGTTTCCTTATTTTCTCTGCCTTGTGGATGATCTTTCCAAAGTCTTTGTAGCTTCTAATTTTTCCTGTGAGTTCCTTCCCGATTCCTTGTGATCTGCTTCTGTTTTTCTTCAAGCTGTTTTCCAGGTTCTCGATTCCAGATCTTGGAGAAGATGCAGTTTGCTACCCATCACTACTCTGCCATTTTATTTCTCTTTTCCTTCTCTTTTGGAATCGGGCTAGATCAGTTTTAATGACGGGACACACATTTACTGGGAGTTCTAGACCATAGAGATTATTTTATTTATTGATTCCATGTGGTAGTTGTTGCATTTATAGTAACTTGCCTGTGACAACTTGAAAATAATCAGTTTTCCATCCAGTCTTTAAGGTACCTATTTCCCATTCTAACATGTAAACTTTTTTCTCGTATTATCAGTCTCTTCCCCTTTTCTTTTAATACTGGAGATTGAACCAAGGGCCTTCACAATGAACTACATCCCCCTTTTACATATTTTTAAAATATTGAAATATTTTATTCTGAGACAATTTTGTTAAGTTGCCCAGATTGGGCTTGAATTTGTGAGCTTTCCTGGCTTAGCATCCCTGAGTGTTGGGATTACAGGTGTGCGGCAGCGTGACACCATTTGATCATACTCTTTCTTTGTCAAAGAACTTTTCAGGTGGTTTTTGTTTTCTCAGTCAAGTCCAGCTCCTTCCTTCCTTAGTATTTTCTGAATCATGTGTGTACTGGGGAATGAACTCAGTCTTTCTCAATGAACTACATCCTTTATTCTGTTCTTCTACTTTCTGCTTGCTTCCCTTCCTTCTTTCCTTCCCTTCTTCCTTTCTGGGTCTCGTTGAGTTGCTCAGGGTGGGCAATCACAATCTTCCTGCCTTAGCTTCCCAAAATGCTGGTATTACAAGCACGTACACCAATTCCTGGCTGTATTTTCTGAGTCATTCATCAACTGACCTTTCTCCTCTTTTCTCCAGACTACTTTTTCCTAACCAACTGTAATTTACATTTTCTTACTTTTGCCATTTTATTCTGCTTTAGTTGTTTGAAATTTTTTGTTTTTATCTATATATTCTTCACACCTCAATACTTAAGTGTTCTTCGCCTTTCTTTTGAGTTTTATATCTGCTTATACCAGTTACCTAAAGTTAGAAGGATCTTTCAATTTCATAGCAGACTAAAATCTTTCGTGCCAAATAACTTCTTTTAATCATTCATCTCCTGAATTGCTTTCTAGTAGTTTATACTTGTTAAATACTTTCTCGTGTGTATATGATACCAAGAAGCTCCAACCCTGTTTTTTTTTTTCTTTTGAAATATACTTCTTAAATACTTTTATATGTTACTCTGTGGAATGAATTTCAAACATCTGTTCTGAAGATATTTTCATTGTTTACATAAAATATTTCCCAGAATCTAAGTTACAAAATGTTATTAATGTAGAAATTGATACTATATTTAGGTCTTTACTTTTTGCTTAGAAAAAAATCGTTTGTTTTTTTGTTGTTGTTCTTTTTTTTAAGAAAAAAGTTGTTTTTAATGAATATGTCCAGGTGACTCTTCAGAATACAGAAACATTTGAGATAGCAAACATTAGTCAAATTATTGAAACTCCAACTGTTCTGAACATTTCCAGACATAACATCTTTTTGAATCTTAGGAAACCTGCTTAGAAACATATCAGTAATCATATCCTGTATGTTTTTATTGTTGTTGTTTTTATACCCTACATGATCAGGTATAGTATTCACAGTAATGACTTCAATGCTGGTACCAGTTTTTTTTTTTAATTTTATTGGTACATTTTAGGTATCCAATATAATGACATTCATCATTGGAAATTTGCACCTTTACATAATCTCTCTTGGTTCTTACTTTGTTGTTTGGTTTTTTGAGACAAGATTTGCCTGTGTAGTCCAAGCTGACCTTGAATTTAGTGATCCTCCTTCAGCCTACCAAGTGCTAGGATTGTAAGCACTGTCAGCATGCCCAGCCTAGTATGCATATCCTTTGTTATTTTAGGTTCTTACGGGCATGAGTAATAAAAAATATAGTTCTTGTTATCATTGATGATTGTGTGTTGCTGGTGATCAAACCCAGGGGCTGGAAGATACTAGGTGACCACATCTTCAGTGTAGATAAACACTTCTAAAATGTGCTTAGAGGCTATCATGGCTTTCCTCATGGTACCCACCCTTCATCCTCCAGGGTGTACTTTTATCTTGCTTTTTCCTGTTTTACTGACCCAAGCTCCCTCTGCAGAGCCAGTTCCTCTCACTCTCTTTCACTTTTACTTTTTAAAATAAATTTTGTCACGGTTTTTTTGCTCATTTTCCCCATTTCTTTGTTTGAGACAAGAAGAACCTGGCAGGGAGGATGTGCTTAGAATGTAGTCATGAAAATGTGAATGTACGCATTTACACAAATGCATACAAGTCATTGCCTTTATTTTTGTGTTCTTTTTCTTTTTCAATATAGGAAATGTATGAAGTTGCCAAGAAACTTTGTTCTTTTTGTGAAGGTCTTGTCCATGATGAACATCTTCAACACCAAGGCTGGGCTGCAATCATGGCCAATCTGGAGGACTGTTCAAATTCATACCAAAAGCTACTTTTCAAGTTTGAAAGTATTTATTCAAATTATCTGCAATCCATAGAAGACATCAAGTTAAAACTTACTCAGTATGTTTACCGTTAAGTAGATAACAAGATATTTGTTTAAAATGTCTTTGGAATTCATAAGTACTTTTAGTCACTGTATGTTTCTTGTCATCCGTATGTTCATGTAACATTTATTTTTTGAGTCTTGTGATAGTGCTTTCTAGGTTATAGTTTTTATAGGTGTATGGATTTATAAATTTATAATTTTTGGTTACTTGTGCATTATCCTATATAATTCTCCTGTAATACTTTTTCTTGAGTTGTATTATGAAAAGAGTGCAAAATACTGAAATCATTTGTGAAACTAATAATTTTTGCTCATACCATCTCTTATGTAATAAAAGACAAGCTATAAAAATAATGCAACTAATAGAAATATAGATGTTAGCAGACAGGATGAGCAAGGAAAATTTGGGTTTTTTTAATACCAGCCATCCTAGCTGGGCATGGAGGTACATGCCTGTAATTCCAGCACTGGAGGCAGAGGCAGGAGGATCACGTGAGTTCAAGGACAACCTTGTCTACATAGTGATTTTTAAGAACAGCCTGAACTACATAGCAAGATCTTGTCTCTGTCCCCCCGCCCCATCCTGGTATAGCTTTAATTAAATTGGAAATTAGCTATCGTGGTCTAGCTGTCATTTAGATAGCTTTTAGAGAAGCACATCTAATATTGGATGTTTTTAAAGAAAAGGCTATAATTAATATAAAAAGAAAGGGATAATTCAAAGTGAATATAACTTGTATGCATGTGCACATGCTTGTATTTCCAAGATTTTCAAGGTTTTTTGTTTTTTTTTTTTTTTGGTTTTGTTTTTTATTGCATTGTTAACCGGACCTTAACTTAGAGGCAAATAGCATATTCTTTCATATTCTCCTCCCTCTTCCTCCTTCCCTCCCTCCCTCTATACTTCCCTGCCTGCCTCTCTCCCACCCCATTTCTATATTTTGCTGTATAAATACTTAGATTTTGGTCTTAGGTCAACAATAAAAGAAATCTTGCCAAGGAAAAAGAAGTAATACTTTAAAATCAAAAGATCTTTAAGTTTATGTAATAACCCTTACAAGTAACTATTTTTTGGAGAATTTTTGGAGTGTTTATTTCAATTTGATGTAAGTACCTGTATCATTTTCTATTTGGTTTTATAAAATCAAGAGTTCATATATTTTCCCATACCTTTTGACTCTATACACCTGTCTTTTTTCAGGGTAAGTTTTCCTAAGATTAAGACTTAGTTTTATCCTGTATTTTCAGCATATTAAGTATGTTTGATTTACTTAAGACAGAATAGCAAATTTGTGTAAATTTGAATATTTATGCCTCCTTAAGGTTTGGTGAAAGCTAGATGCCCACTTGTTTATAATAGCCTAACTAGTTTTCGTTTAGTGTTTTGATATCTTTTTTTTTTTTTTTTGGTACCGGGGATCGAACTCGGGTCCTTGCGCTTTCGGGTCAGGTGGCAGAACCACTGAGCTAAATCCCCAGCCCCTTGATATCTTAATTATAACATTCTGTCTCTGCCAACCTAGGCTTCTACAAATGACCAGATAGCTTATAAACTACGTTATCAATGAATAATACATAGACAAGTGGTAAGGTCTTGTGTGTTTGTGTTAATAAGATGGGATACTAATCCTTAAATAGAGAAGACTTGTTTTACTGACCCTCCTTTCTGTGTTTTAAGTTTAGGAACTGCGGTTTCAGTAATGGCCAAGATTCCATTGTTGGAGTGCCTAACCAGACATAGTTACAGGGAATGTTTGGGAAGACTGGATTCTTTAAATGAACTCGAAGGCTCAGAAAAGGCTGAGATGAAACAATCCTCTGAACTGGTGCTCTCTCCTGATATGCCTAGAACAACTGATACATCCTTGTTAACCTCATTCCACAAGTCAGTGGAGCATGTAGCCCCAGATTCTACAGATGCTGAGAGTGGGAAAGAAATTAGAGAATCTAATCAAAGTACTGCACCGCAAGATGAAACTTCAGTAGACGCTAAAGACAGTGATCTACCTTTTTTTAATGTTTCTTTGTTAGACTGGATAAATGTTCAAGATAGACCTAATGATGTGGAATCTTTGGTCAGAAAGTGCTTTGATTCTATGAGCAGGGTAAGTAATGTTAATTTGATAATTCTTAGGTTGTTCACTTTACATTACTTAGTATATAATGGGAAAATAGGTATTAGGTAGTGGAAACAATATGCTGCGGATTGAAATTTCTAGATTGACTCAAACTTGTAATCTTATTTACAGATTGACTAAATTTGTGACGATCATATGAAATTATTTAGATCAAATGGCTAATGCAATGAGAATGATTTACATATAACAAACTACTTAGGTCTTGAGTGGTTAAAAAGTAAACCACCACCTACCTTTATAAGAAGAAGGAGAGGAAAGACACAGTATGCTCTGCTGTGTTTTACCAAGCGATGCCCTGCACCACCTCAGGACTCTGCTAGCAAGAAGGCCATCACCAGATGTCACCCTTTCACCCTAGATTTCCAGAACTGTGTGCCAGAATAAATCTCTTTTCTTTGTAACTCAATGAAACCACCAACATCCAAAAGAAAGTATCGCACATTTCCATCAAAGTCCCCTTGCAGTCCTTCTTTCCAGTCACCATTGCCCTAGAGGAAACCTCTTTTAGAATTTTTTTGTTTTAGTTTTTTGTTTTGTTTTGTTTTTGAGTCAGGTTCTCAGTACATGGCCCAGGTTGGCCTTGACCTCACTGGGATCCTCCTGTCTCAGCCTCCCAAGTGCTGGGATTACAGGAGTGCGTCACCACTCCCGGCTGGAAACCTCTTTTAGACTTAATTCAAACACTTGAAAACTTGAGGGGTTTTTTTGGTTTTTTGTTTTTGTTTTTGTTTTTGTTTTGGTGCCAGGGATCAAACTCAGGTTCTTGTGCTTGCGAGGCAGGCAGCAGAACCACTAGGCTAAATCCCCATCCCCACTGGGGATCGAACTCAGAACCTTGCGCTTGTGAGGCGGGCGCGGTGCCCCTGGACTAAATCCCTGGTGAAGACTTCATGGTTTTAATTGTATTTTATAAATAAACCTGAGGAGTACATTTCTGTCTGTATCTCATCCATAAATTGATAACAAATACTGGAAGCCAAAGAGGAGACTGATGGGACACATGTAAGGAAGTCAAGGGAGCATACCTTTCAGTGCTACAAGATGTTAGGAGTACATGAACGTGTCTATTACCGAATATGACTAGGCAGCCTTCTGAGGGGCATTCTGTTTCAAAAAAGATTTAATCCTTGATTCACTAGAGAAAACATGCACATTGTCTAAGATGTCTAACAAACACCACATCCATGTCTGAATTACGGCACAGTAAAATAGCAAATTTTAAAATATTGAAGTTTCGTAATTCTTTTCCATGTCTGTTTCCTTGATGACATCCAGTAGGGTAGGTTTCTCATTCAATTAGGACATATGCTGGGACAGGAAAACATGTAATAAAATTTGCAAAGCCAAAAATGAATCAAAGAAATCTAGGCTAATATTCTGCTTTCACTGTTGATATTTTAATGACCTAAAAGTCCATTTAAGAATATGGATAATTGGCCATATGATTGTGATTAGGATAGCTGAGAGCATTTTTTGGAACAACCTACATACACTGGATAATAGAACTCTGTTAATAGACTATGAAGAAGACCTGATTGGCTTTGAGTTTCATGTTTAAATGCAAAATCTACCAGAATCATAGGTTTTATTCCTTTCACATGACAAGAGGAAGGAAACAGTGATTCTGTACTGGCTTAACAGTGAATATTAAAAACTCCTTATCCTTACAGAAAACAGAAGTTAGCTATACTGTTATTATCAAAGAATTACATTATTGGATCCCAGAGGTCATTGGTTATTTTTATGGGACATAGCAGTAGGCCCTGAAATCTGATATTTTGTGTCTGTTGTGAAAGCAAAATGCCAACTTTGATTTACTTATGCACATTTTGTATAAAATTAGTTAGCATGACTTTACTACAATGTAGCACTCATCAGTTGCACAAGCACATTAGATTAAGAAATATTTTTTATTCTAAAGCAGTGGAAACTCATTTTGGAGAAATTGAATATATTTTGTACAGTATGTGCTGTTTTATAAAATGGGATGTATGTATTTTTCTCCTAGCAGTACTTTTCATGGCATTTCTCAAAAGATTAACTTGAACTGCTGGATCAGGGATACTTTCTTTTTGTCTCACATTTATTGAATAGTTGTCCAAAATAACTAACCTATTATCATCTGGTAGCATTAATGCTGTTTGCTGATGAAGTAATAAAAAAGTGCTGATTTGATGGTATATTAAAGCAATTTTTTGTTCAAAGTTGTACATTTCACACATTTTTCCAGTAAACAATTGTTTCTAACTGCCAAGTTCAAATATTGTTCTCCAGAAAATTGTTGAAACATACATATTTTGAAACTTAGGATTTGAAATGACAAGGACTTAAATCCCAGCAGTGACATTTATAACTCCTGTCATTCATAATAAGTCACTTAACAGTTTTGATCCCCAGTTTTATATTTGGGTAGATAGATTCTAGTTTTGTGAATTACTTAGTTTCCTCTTTAGTTTTAATCTGTCAGTAATATTTTATAATTGTTGCTCCATTAGGTTTAAATGTGTTCTTGATGGAATGACTCTTAAGATGTTCTGTTTTAAATTACACTTCAAAAGACAAACCTGATTTGTGCTTCTGATAATTAATAATTGGAAGTATGTGCACTTGGTTCACGTATAGGCTGTCAAATAATTCATTGATTCTTTAGCATTTTCTTTTAGCCAAAATTGTGATCTTACGCAGTGTTTGTTGCTAAGAAGGAAGGGTTGGGAATATGATAGTTAAGAATGGAAAGGGTAAGAAATTTTTGTTTTTATAATTTCTTCTCTAAGGCAATAATGTTAGAGGCAGTGAATATAGCTAATTAAAGACTGAGCCCCCAAGAGTAAAAATTAGTGTGTCACTAAGTGTTAAATGCTGAAAGCTTGCAAAATAATCATTAATATGATTCTGTGGTGTAAATGTATACCTTCTAAAATGTTTCTTCAAAGACTTTATTTGGAAATTTTACTTTTCTTTTTTTTCTTTCT